ACAGGCAAACAGATACACCAGACATGTGTAGTTGAGTGTGAGTGTGTGTATGTGAGAAAGTGCCAAGTGTGTTTAAATAAGAATTATGACGGGATGTGCAGCGGAGTGGACGTCAGAGGCAGTCAGTGGGGGACTCGGCCTCTGAAACGGTTTGTGTGGCGTGAGGTCTTGGTCCTGATGGACCTCAGCCTCTTGTCACATGAAGGGACACAAACTGTTTGGTTTCCGGGTGAGAGGAGTCGGTTACAATCTTTCTTGCTCGCTTCAGGGTCCTTGAAGCGAACAAGTCCTGGAGGGACGGCAGATTGCAGCCGATGCAGCTTATTGCACCTCACATCTCTTTGTTCAATTCTTTGTTTGCTGGGAAAACACTAGGCCTGCAGGGTGGAGTTTACATACAGTAACTTCCTGGAGATCTACTCGAGGTCTACAGCATGCAGGGAGTTCAGTGCGTTGGAGACTCCCAATTGCATTTGTTGTTTTTGTTGTTATGTAATCAATATTTTACACTGTCCTTATTTTACACATTCTCCATCTCCAAAAAAGATTTCTCCTCCGGAGACATTTTTTCAACCTTAATGCTATTCGGTAGTTGCACTTGCTGCAAGACTGCAGTTGCAATTCATTATACATGGTACCATTAGAAGGCCTTTATAAAAAAGCAAGATACAGATTTGCCAGTTAGAGGACTTTTAATCCAATTGCATTACTGCAAATGTGTGTGTGTAGTTTCAACCGTCCCACAGTGCATCACTCCTCAAAGTCCATGACCTTCATTTGTCTCACCCAAGACTTCGAGGGGGACGTGCAGGCCACAGAATTTAGAATAATATTTCCAACGACCATCCTCCGGAGCGTTTATGAGGACGGTGTTTCTGGTCAGACCTGTCGTTGTCACCCTTCTTGTCTTTGATGCTTTACCACGCGTGAAATAGACGTGCGATGTTGGTATTCTGAGAACTGCCGCTGCCTTCGCTCCTCCTCTGTCTTTTGCTCCTCTCTTCTTTTGCTGCCAGCAGAGCCGGTGGGCCCACGTGAGGAGAATAGCCAGTAACGGACAGCCAGTCAATCAGGACGGGCCAACGGCGTAACAACGTTAGGTTGCACCATCGGGTAGACTCTCATTCCGGAGCATTGTTCCCTGTAATTTGTTTTCGCTATCTGTCATATCAATGCGATGGCACAACCTGCGCCACAGACAGAGACCGAAGTGAATACTTCTTTACTTTCACCCTGAATACAGGCGCGGTGCGAACTCGCTACTCCTCAAACTGTGACGGGCCAAGTTTAATGTTATATATTCAACACAATTACAGAGTTTATGAGCAGCAAAACACTCAACTAGTTTGTTGGAACTCAGATTTAATTATACAGCGAAGCCCGCCTCAAAAGAAATCTACAGAGGAGCCAACCGACATCCGATCAGCAGTCTGTCAGAAAACATAACGACGGAATTCACGGAAAAACAAACAAAGATACAAGGAAACGAAAGACAGCACGGATAAAAATAGCAGCATGGCGCATCCAACCTTTCCCAATTACCCCAGAATTCCCATCTTTAGAAACTTTAGACATATAAAGCAAAAGAGAATCACATTCATAAGAAACCCTGTTTCCTGCAAGTGTGAAATACACCAAAACGGAAGCGTCATGACAGATGTGACCTTCAGTTTGTTGGTGTGAGAATGTGTTTTGCAAAGCATTCACTTTCCTGTTAAACCCCTGAATGTTGACAGTGAAATTCGCCACGAGGATGTCAGTTAGTGAAAGGCGCAACACCCGTGAAATCCAACCGATTTGTCTCAATTTTCCCATCAAATAAATGACTTGGAGCATTTTTGTGATCCGACGTCTCTGGTTGAAGATTTTATTAAGCCATGGCCAGTGGGATACGGCGGCTGAGTGGAGGGTAGGGGGGGTTAGGGTTGAGTTAGGGTTGAGTAGTCACAGGGGTCGGAGGGTGAGGATCTAGAAGTGCAAGGAGTGTATCGCGCGGGGGAGCGGAGTGTGTAGAAGAGACCCGAATTGAGAGTAATGATTCCAGAGAGGAGCACAGACGTCTCTTTCATCTCCCAGCGGACCTCGAGCGCTCTTTCATCATCACCTAAAAAATGTGCACGCTCGTATTGAAGGCACGTTTACCTGCCGGGAGGAAAAGACGGAATTCACTTTCAAAGAAACCTGCTGTCACTTTCCCTCTTGTCTTCGGTGTTGGGATGCAGAGCGTGGAGTCATTAAAGACGCGGCACCCACTGTGAGCGACACGGGCAGGTGACAATTATTTACCCTGGAATTAGCCTTGTTATTGTGCCTGATGAATCTGTGTGGAAATTAAGAGCGAAGGTTTGGAATTAGTCAGGCTGGCGAGGCGGCGCAGCAAGGGCACGGGCGTGTTTGAAGGGTTGCTCAACACGGTGGCAGAAAGCAAGGTTGGGAGCTCCCATTTCTTTGACATTTTGAAAGCCGTGAGCTTTTTGAAAGTAATTTGAGAGGAAGGCGGGTTTCATTTCTGGGATTCCTTTCGGTCCATCTGTTGTTGAAGTCAAAGCACATCAAGTCGTTTCTATTTTTACCGCTCACGTTGCGAGGTTCTAGAAATTCATGTTCCCCAGCGGATGACTCTTGTTTACTTTGGTGATCTATCGGCCTTCAGTGCCACCGGCAGGTCCAACTCAAGGGAAATATCTCAAGACACAAGAGACAACGTTTTGCATGGATGGTTCCATCTCACGCCAGCAAAAGGTTGACATTTTTTTTTGAAGAGCTGTAGCAATTATTTCTCACAAGCGAGCTAACAGTGTATGCACACTTGAGAACGCGAGAATTGTATTTTTATATCTTTAATAAATCCTTAGTGCAGAAAAGTTAAAAATACTTTTGCGTGTCATTATCTGAATTTATTTCATCATGCCATACACCAAAAAAGAAAAAAAATCAAATAATTGATTAAGAAATATCATATTTTAATCAATACTTGAGAAGACTTTCTCCTCCCATATAATTATACATAAGTGTAACTAAACAATAGCTCACAGCCAGCAAGCACATCTGCTGTTTTTATATCTTTTAATTAAACGCAAGGGCAGCATGTTAAAAGAAAATAAATCCTGGTGCTTTCATCTCTTCAACCTTCCTCAGGTGAGCTCAACCCTGTTTGTCACTGTGTGTGTGTGTGTGTGTGCGTGCTGCTAGACTAAAGCTCAGTGGCCTTCCTCGCTCCACAAGCAACAGATTTGATGTGACCGTGCGACTGGATTTACTGCGACCCAGTTAAGCCGAATCCTCGGCTGCTCGCACAGACAACCAGGCTGTGCTTTACTTTGCTAAATTCATTCTTAATTGAAGAGACAGCTCAGTGTGGGAAGACACAACAACATTCGAAAGGCATTTAGTTAGGTAGATTATTTTCACTTGAGGTGAGCTTAGTCACTTGCTTATTCATCAGAAACATGACCTCACCGCCCTCCATTCTGCTCCCAACACGCCGAGCCTCGGACTGAGATTCCTACGAGCTAAAGGGACAGATGAACAGAATCTAACCAATCGATGATCTGCGTCCTCTTCTGATCATTCATTCCGCTGCCGGATGGCATTCGGAGACATGAACTGCTGGTGATTTCGAGACGCAAGGACTACATCCCGCCGAGGTTTTCCGAGCTGTCCTCGGACGCGCCGGTTTTCCTCTCAATAATTGGCTGTGAGATTCCCCCCGCTGTGAGATTGCAGTTCGTCCGGTTATGGCAGCTTCGGCTTTGCAGCAGTCCCTACTGGGCCAAAAGTGCTGATTCTCAGTGTTTTTATCAGAGGACTTATTCTCTCTTAATCGCGAAACGGTCTCCAGATGCCGACTTTTCCGCGAGTCAGCCCCAGTTTGATTAATGTGATCTGGGAGCGCTGAAAGTGCTGCCAGGCCCAGAGGTGTCACCCAACACCGCTGAATAAATGAACAGAACTAATTGTTTGTTTATGGTCTGAAATATTAATGGCGTTGAATGCATGAGGCCGTCAGTTGGAATCACCATTCGGGACGAATATGCGCCGTGGTTTGCGTTGCTTCATACAACCATTAACAGTAACCGCAGCGGCTGCAGCGACATTAGGACATTTTCGTAAATGAGGCTAATTAGTTGGTCTTTGATGCAATTACATTATCCGCTTATGAGAGAGAAAAACCGTGTCCGTGATTAAAGTAGCTTGCATATGGTTTGTGGGCGAAGTTTTGGGGGGTAAACATTCCAAGGGGGGATAAAAGCTGGAGATGGCAGCAAAGATAGTGGCTTCTGCTAACGAGATGATGCAATATTCTCCAAAAGCGTATCCTGCACACTGCACATGGCCACATGGGACTCACAGTGTAAAAACAGAGTGATGCTATCACAGTTACAGTTGCACGGCCAGGGGGACCTTGAGTGATTGCCATCAAGTACGATTTCCCTTCAAGGATCCTCAAGCATCTACGCTGACCGTTGCTCCCTATTCACAGATTAATGGACTATTATACAGCATGTTGTGCTCGAGAGCCACTTAAGGTTTCCACAGGCATTTGGATAATGAGTACGGACTCCGTGTGCGCGTGTACGACCCCTGGAAATTCCAAAACCTACTGATGGTGTTCGCATGTGGCGGTTTGGAGCCTCGTGAGGATTTCCGCTCTCTGCCGCTCTAACGCTGCGAGTTAAAGAGGATAACGCTGAATGTGGAGATTAAATCCCAACTCCCCGGTGTCGCAAACCCCGGGCAAAGTTTTGTTTACGCATTGCTTTATCGGTGATCTGGGAAGCATTGTAAATCCTTCACATCTCCTCTTTCATCTCCATACAGCACCTTGATCCTCGCTGCGTCATTAGCACTGCGGCTATAATGAGAGCGCTGGGTGAAGAATCGCAACCTTCTGGTTAAATTGCTTTTCTACGTTGTGAGTGTGTGTGTGTGGAGGTGGGTGCGGCGGCACAACTCATTATAAAAAAGACTTTATGTAAATCCAAAAGCCACTGTCGTTGTTAATCTTGGTGAGGAACCGATCCCCAACATTTTATTGTGCACCACGCAGCTCTGAAAATGAAATAAGATGATGATGCTGATGGCTGCTGGTGGGGAGCAGAAAGGCAGGTCTGAATCATTCTGAAGCATCTCATTAGTAACTTCATTTTGTTTTACAGCACAATGAACAATCTCCTGGATTAGCAAAACCAACCAATATTCAGTATATCTTTTCACAGATCTACGCGGGGAATATCATTTTCATATCTTTTATTGTAGTCATGTAGTAAAGTCATCCTGTTTTTATTACTTTAGTTTCCTCAATCAAAATGATTTCAAACCCAAAATGCATTACGGTAAAGTTAGCTGTTTTCTTTAACCCTAACACTAACTATTAAAAAAAGGTCATGTGAATCATAGTTTCTCCTGACGTCTGATATCTTGCTGACTGATTTCCTCATTCCATCAGTCTTGCTTATTTTGCGCTATTTTTAGTGTCTCTAGTACTCAGCGCTTCATTCTGATGGAGAGGATTTGCCACTCTGTCAAAAGAAAAATCCTGAGGGAAACACTTGACATTACTACTACTTTTTAGAACGAGAATACCCATATTTTACAGATGCATTAATCGCGATGCAGCGTGAAGTGTGGAAATGTCGACATTGCATTGAAAAGCCTTCACTCAAACTCTCCAACAAAGCTCATGTTGGCCGATCACGAGGTTTAGTTTGGATATCTTCGTTAATCGTGACACCATATTCCATCAGCGATGTGTCAAATCTCATTTTGATTTGTTTTATTACCCTGCCAGATTGACTTCCCCTCATTTGATGTCTTATAATTATTCCAGTCTACATTACAACCCATCTTACCATTAAAAGATCTCTCAACACTCCACCCTCTTAATTTCTAAATTAACATGTCCTAATGCTAATTGAATGGGATTTTAATAGCTTTCATTAGGCAGCATTTAGAGTGAAGAGAACAGCCATAAGTGCGCCTACAGCCCAACCGCATCTCCTGTAGCAAAAATGTTTTCTTGTTCAGCACTGATGCCACCAGTGGGCCTCCAGCGAGGTCACAGCGCAAACAAACACTCTCCTGCTCCTTTGTGTGCTCTCTTCGTCGTAAAAAGGGTCTGGAAAGACTCTACAGTTAGTTTCAAACGACGCCGTCCCCTCACGGCTTTTAAAGCAAGTCTGGGCTGCTCTGACGTACCGTCAGCTATTATTCCCGATGCCTCCCATGTGGTTGTCCTCTCCATAAACTCTTCCCCTTCACTGAGCCCCTGCCTCCCATCACCAGCATGCTTGTTAAGCAGACACACACATTAGTCTAACTCATGTTTCCTCAGAGGCCCACAAGCCTGCCAAGGCAAAGCTCCTTCTTATCACTCAGCCTCTGCCCTGCGTGTGTGTGTGTGTGTGTGTGTGTGTGTGTCTGTGTGTGTGTGTGTGTGTGTGTGTGTGTGTGTGTGTGTGTGTGTGCGCACATCACACTCTCTCCCTGCCCTCGGATGAAACCTCTCAAAATATACATATTTTTTGTCGTTGCAGCATCCCGCCTCCAAAGAACCAAGTGTGTTGTTGTTTGGCTTAAACTGGAGGAAATTTGACCCAGAATGCGTTAGCAGAGGGGAACATATGCAAATTTTCCACTCCATTAAAACGATAAATATCGCGATAAAGAAGGAATCTTGTGACAAATATTGTGATATTTAACTTTGCATATCGTCCCAACAGGTTAAAGATTCGCGGGCAGTTTCATCACTGTAAATACATAAAAGTTCCTTCAAGGCATTGAGGTCAATCGAGAGTATTCTGAAGTATCAAACCGAAGAACCGCCCAAACCTCATCAACTCAAAACCAATCATCAATGCCGTGAACTAAATCTGCACAACTAACAGGCCAGATGTGTTCCAGCATCCAGGTCTGTGGAGCGAAGGGAGTTCAGGTCCTGCATGAGCCCCGAGGGCGCCGCAGACTCGGGCCATTGCACATTACTGATAAAATAAACAGAGCAAGACCGTATTGTTCCAATCAAATCTTTTAGTAATTCGACCTAAGGATTTCCTCATTAGGGTCTCCGTTGTGTCCAGTTGCTACAGCGAGTTCGGTTGTTTAAAAATCAACTCTTGTTAATTATTTTTGTGCTTATCACTGCTCCTTTCAGGAATGGTTCCCCGGGTGTGTTTCCATTTTAATAAGTTGCTGACTTCACAGAGAGTCCATTTGTGACTATTCTTTTAGAGAAAGTGGTGAAATATGATGCTCAGTCAGCGGGCCTCAGTGGGATGGTAAGCAGGCGTGCACAATATAAACAACATGTGATCCATTTAGACACATTTATGACACTTGAAAGGATAAGAAGATGAATGCCTGTTACATCTGTTTGTTTGATATAACGACTAGTTATTCTAAGATTTGAAAACAGCCAAAAAGCAAAGCGGTCTGGTTCCAAATGTAACGATATCTACCTGCCAGCAACTGCAAATATCACTACTAACATGTTACCATTTCAGTAGTAACTGAAATGCAAAAAAAATGATGTGAGTGGTACACATTTCCTCAGGTAACTCTTGTTTTGATGATTATTTTCTGTCATGACTGTTTATTATTATCCTCAAGGCGGAAGGTTAAAAATACCGGTACAGCTGCTTTTGGGACCTAATTAATGGTAAAGCTTATATGCCGCTAAAACCTTTGTTTACCTTCATCCATTCCATCTCTATTATTGCTGTCCATTGGAATATGCTCATGTTGGTTTCTTTTTCATCCAAATTAATTTTCAAGAAACCTCGTCAGAATGAACACTGGACAGCGTCCAGATGCACGGCACCACATTTTCGCACGCAGATGCAGAGTATTTACTTGGTAAAAAGAATCTCAAAGCACACCAGATGCTCGATGTTTAACCTCCAGAATGAACCTTTTCCTGGGATGTGATCCAGCTTCAATATCCTTTCCTTCACACACACACTGTCCCCCGCAGTCAATTAAAACACACAGCACAGATTGCTAGTCCCTACAGCAACTTCTTAAATAAACTGCCGTAAGGTTAAATAACTTTTGAAAAGGCAAAAGGCAAACAGTTGGTCCAACATGATAACCTCTCATCATTGTGCTCCTGTGATATCGGATAGCTCAGTACACACTCGTTACAGCCTGAAGGACGGATCGATTTAAGAAAAATCAATGTTGAAGTTCATATGCATGACCGTAGGGATGCCGGTGGTAGTTACACTCCTCATCTCATAATCAAAACTGCCTCAACGGCCTTTTCACATTTCACTCCGGACAATAGCGCCACAGCATATTGACACAATATATGGTTTTAATCTCAGGAGAAATGTCAGGTGAATCTTGCTGAAGCTTCGTCTTTGCCACGAGCTCGTCGGATGCTCTGTCTACGACCGAAGTCCCACCGCGCTGAGAGCCTGTGGGGAAGCTTTTAAGCTGATTCGGTTTGAGTCCCTCTTCTGAATGTCCGACTCGCTCCTAGAGAGTGCGGTCCTCGTCACTGATGCCATAGCGCACCTCTTGTTCGCATGTCTCTGAGGGGGCTCCAGCTCATCTATCACAGTAAGTGTGAATGGCGGACGGGGACGCCAGAGGAACAGAGGCAGGCTGCTCCGGCGCTCCCTTCTCTCACCATACACTTAGTAATCTGTGCTGAGGCTATTCCCTCAATGGAGAATGGGGGCCTTGTGTTACGAGGGTCCAGATGGGGCAAAACAACACTGTTTAACTGTTAATAAATGGTGGCTGTGGGTGTTTTGTGCTTGATTGTTGCTTACTAGCTCACAAATGTTTCCTGCTATATTGAAATGTTTTCAGGGGGTTTTAATTCACAAAACTACACTGAAATTACGGAAACATCCAATTTAATTGCACATAAGTGTATGCACAACACATCCTTGAACAACAAATCACACACTTGACACCGAGGGATCCAGCTGACAAAGGACACAGGTCTGTCTGTGGATAGGAAATAGTACAAAACATCAAAGCGGCCATTGACTAACTACACAGTTTATTTGCCTCGTACTCCTCGTGGTTGGGTTGTCTGGCGCTGAAAGCCTGCAGGGCCGTGAGTATCCTGGTCACGTCTGCACTGGACAGTTTGAGTCTGTGGCGGAGCAGACATGCGAACAGATCCACGTGTGGGGCCCCGGGAGGAGAGAGGCGGTTAACCCTGTAGCGCAGCTCCACCAGCTGCAGCAGGGCCGAGTCCTGGGATCCCTGCGTGTACGGGTAGTCTATCTGCAGAATCAGGTCCTGGATGGCCTCGGGGTCAAAGTGCACGCTGTATCCGAACAGCTGCATGCTGTTCACTTTCATGTAGCCGATGTTGTTGGACGGCTCCGTCGCCTCCAGAGGCTCATAGTACACCGTCGCGTTCCTGTTGCCTCCCGTCACTCCCGCAGGATCCTTGATACGACTCCTCAGGTAGAAATGAACCGTCTCAAAAAAGCTCTTCCATCTGTTTCCGAGAGTCAAAGTCCAATTATAGCAGTCCAAAGGGATATCCAGCTTGGTCCGCTCCCAGTCAGGGTATCCGTGCTGACCCAGAGGCATGGTCCAGCTCTCCGAGTGGCTGCCCCCGAACGGATTCACGAACAGAGACAACGCCGGCTCCAGAGTGCTGTTCCTGGTGAGGCAAAACTGGAGGGCGAGTCCAACGAGCATATGGACGCGGTTGGACTTCACCCGGTTGCTCTTAAGGGTGAGCAGCATCCTCTTCCTCCAGGAGGGGTCAAACCAAGTGTTAACGCGCACGTCATTGCTGACAAAGACCCCGTGCAGAGCGATGCGGGGGTCTCGCCGCTGGAGCAGGTAGCGCAGCTCCAGGTCCTGCAGGTCTCGGTCGCTCTCCAGGCCCAGGTAGGGCTCCGTGGGGTCGGGCACGGCGGGCCGGCAGGCCCCCTGGGTGAGGGTGAAGCCGAGGTTGCAGCTGGAGCACCGTGTCCTGTTCTCCGCGGAACAGGAGGCGCAGCGGGCGCCGTCGCCCACAGAGCAGGGAATGAGGCCCTGGCAAGGCGGGTGGTTGTAGGGGCAGGAGCAGCTGCGGCTCTCGTCACTATAAACACCAACCTGGTTGTTCTCACTGCAGTATAAAATGGAGAGGGCGTAGCTCAACCAAAAGTGTAGCGGCCTGAAGGGGAAACAAACACAAAACATCGAAGTCATATATGTCACTATGTTAATGCATCAAAGGAGAGGGGATTTTTAATGTGCCGCAGAAAACAATTAGAGGCAAACTCTGATTCAGCTCAAGCTGCGGAAGCAGAATCCTAACAAAATGAATATTTTAACTCATTGAACTTCCTTGCTGTGGCGCAGATTGGTGGTGACAACAAAACATACAGACAGATGCGCATACGATTCATGCGTACTCTTATTGTCTTGTGGCTTTTTCGCCTGAGGTTTATACTACTTTTTACAGCAAATACAGCACAATGTTATTAAAACGATTACAATGTAAAAAAAGCTAACAATGTAAAAAAGCAGACCAATAAAACACACAAACATTCAGTTTAAGAGGGCCACAAAAACTGATTTACCCAGTAACCCTAAACCACTATTGACTTCTTTACGTTACAAGCAGAGGCGTTGTGACAAAGATGTGTAATTGGACTGTGGAGTGAGGAAGCCGTGCAGGCGATTGACTAGTGAGCTGATGTATTGGGTCATTTAGTTAATTTCCCTTCCAGAAATAACTATAAACACAGAGTGTTCATGAGAGACGAATAAATCTGAGTGAAGTTATGACCACGTCGGTCTCCGATAGGCTGCAGAAATGGATTATCCAGGTGCCACTGCATCTGAAACAGCAGCTGTTATAGTGAAAACAATACAGTGATAAATACAGCCAAAGTCGTCAAGTATTACCGGCCACAGCAGCTTTAATTCTGGGATGTCGTCCCGTTAAAACCAATGGAAATAAAGAGGAGACTTTTATGAAATGCTGTATTGATTGGAGTGCAGTTTAAACCTGCAGACATGATCCCGCCTGTCTCTCCCCCCCCCGGGGGAACGGAGGAGCAGCTCCGCTCCTGTCAGCACTTTTCACCTCACTCCACAACTACATTTCCTTCAGCGCCGTCTAATAAGTAACGTCCTGCTCCGCTGCTCTCTGCGAGCACCTGGCGCATACGTAAATCCTTTTCATAATTATAAGTTTTGGGGAGCACCTTGGCGGAAAAGGCAGCGGTATAAATAGCCACCCTCCCTTGTTCTCCTTTTGGCTCTTACCTCGTCCTCTGCAGGACTATTTGGGGCTGCTTTCGGCACCTCTTGCTGAGGCTGAAGAGCCTGTTAACGGTGCGGTGAGCTTTAGAGAAAAGCTGGTTGCCACTGGTCTCCAGCTGCCTGTAGCGCTGGAGCACGCTGGCGTCCGTCCTCCACATGTGTTCCACGACAGATGTGTTCACAGCGTAATGGGTTGGCAGTTTCTCAACAAAGCTTTGGAACTCCTCTGGTAGGAAAAACAAAACAAAAACATGAATAAATAAACTGTGCCTACGGCTACGAGCCTCAGGGTAACAATATCCCTGAAAGAATAATAATAAACTGTCTTCTTCTCATTGTTTGTCCCAGAAAAGCAAACAGAGGAGAAATAACAGCCGCAACATGCCAAGAAAGCATGTTCTGTTTTTTTATTACTTTCTTCGGAGGAAGGGAATGCTGATTTCATGAGCATATCAAACCACAAACTCCTTTCATATTTTGTCTCAGCGAAAGGATACACGTTTCCCTCCTATCACCAGTATGGAGCACCGCACACCTTCAAAGCAAGTAGTCCCTAATTAGAGATGAGTGACACTTTATGCACAATTGCGGCTGCCGCCTTCAACACCGTGGAAGTAAGGCGGCTTGCCATCGTAACGCTGGCGTCAAACGTCACGCAAACTTTCTGTTTTTTTATCCGCGACGCAGCTGTCACATTCATCAAACATCAATAATTGATTGATTGTTGGATAAACTTCTCTGTCAGAAGAATCTTTCTCCTGATTTATGTCGCAAACCACAAACTTGAGTTCTGGGAAACTTGCTACTAATCTCGTGGGTGTTTATGATAATTACAGCAATGTCTGAAAATAGAGTGCAATAATACAGAAAATTAGATTAAAAAGTAGGACTTCGAATTACTTGGCCTTTTTATTGAATAAACCTTATTCATTTTTAACATTCCTTTAGTCCTTTTATGTCGCATGAATATACACGAAGCTGCAACCACCAGTTGTTTAGCTTAGCATAAAGACTCCTATAGGATAAAACAACCCTTATCCTTAGGTTTCCTTATATAATTTATCTACTGAACTTCTTACAGGTTAAACAAACCAGATATCACGTGTTTTTAATTAACCGTAGTTATGAGAGGTATTAGTTTTCCCATAAAGCAAACAATCCTGAATTGTCATTACGTTTTTTTATGTGATTCTTCACAGCACTTTAAAAACAGATTTGAGCAGCCCTGAGCCTCTGAAGGGGACCAGAAGCCTCATTTGATTTGAGGCCATGAGTGACAGGTCTCTTGATTCAGCGTCTGGCAGCTTGCGGTGTTTGACAACCCAGCATGCTTTCAGAACCACCCCGACACATGGCTTTCTGTTCCTTGAAGCGCTTATTTTGAAGTTTAAATGTTGTGATAAAATAACCCACGTCCCAAAGTATCAGCATTCTGCGAGTTTTAAAAGCCAATGTTCCACAAGTGACTTTTTTGAAGGCACCACTCAAGCTGACATTTTCAGGAGCTGTTTTTGTCACAGTGAATTAAATTCCCCTGACTCACCGGATTCCTCAAACTCCTGGTTTGTCATCCTCCAGGTGTCTCTGATGCGCAGCAGGTTGCTCTCAAGAGTTTGCAGGTCAGAAAGGGGACAGTTGCACAGAGGGAAGTCCACGCTGCACTCGCACCAGCAGTCGCCGCTGCGGCACACAAACTGGCCCTCGGATTTACAGCCCACGTAGTTGAGAGACGCCTGAATGAAGCGGCTCCGCAAGTAGCCGGGTAGGACGACCTGCAGCCCTGTGGGAGGTAAAAAGAAAGGAAGGAATAAGGCTTTCATTTATTTCAGGGATTGATGGATTTTCTGTTCGTCAAACCATAAATGAGCCAAGGTCCGATAGAAAGGCATCTACATTCGTTTCATTACTCACATTAGTCCAAAACACTTCACTGCTCTCAGAATTGGCCTTGAAATACGAAATGCTGTGAATGTAAATATTAACATATCATTGAAGTGCTTCATCTCAGGGCAGTCATGTAATTTGGCTTAGCACTTACTCTTTAAGCTATTTAAAATGTGTAAATGAGCCGCATCATTGCACTGGTTGAAATTTAGTGTGATTACCATGAACACATACACACAAACGCACACACACACACACACACACACTGTAGTTCATTTTGACTCAATCCCACACACACTCCGGTCGTGCTGTCATAAATACATAAATACTCACTAATGCACCAAATATGTGATAATCCACCGTATAAAACAGTCTGGAACCGACACACTAGGTGACTGTTTACTATTAGCCAAAATGCCTAGCTGTGTTTTGCAAAAGAAAATAAAGAAAGGGAAGGAAATGTGTGTGTGTGTGTGTGTGTGTGTGTGTTGTGACCCGCTTTTATATACTTAAGCCTTAAGCAGTAAACAATGAGCTTGGAGCTGAACGCCTCAATCAAGAAATTTGATTGAATTAAGAGAAATAATAGTACATTGTGGGTTCTGGCTGTATGATTCAATTTGTTGATGTGAGCAAAGATATAGAAGAATGTCTTATGAATCCTTTAAAGCAATGGTTTACATTAAATGTACCTGTCACCTTCTTGCTGAGATGATTAATGTCACGTCCGACTCACCGTCGACGATCATCCAAATCTTCTCGGTTTGACCAAAGGAATAGATTCTACTGCCAGATGGTGATGACACCCTGGAACCACACTAACTGTCTTTTCATCAGACACACGATCCGATCTACGGCATCAGGTGCCAGTGCCTTTTTAAAACCTGCTGAAGAGAATAGCTTTTGCTGTTGCTAAGACACCGGAAAGCAGCGGCGGCTCCGCTGACGTATCGTCCACCTCGACCTTGTCATGTTTTAGTCATGCTACATCTTTTTTGTTTCTGGCAGACAGAGGTCCCATTTGTCATGGCTGCTACAGGCTAACGCCAAAACATTTGGAATTGATTGATCAAAAAAAACAACCTTCTTTTACCTTGTAGTTGAACCTTGTTTTCCGGGCTGTGAACCAGCACGGAGCTGACCGTGTCCAGATTGTCATAGTTGCTGCATCCAAGGGGCCCGGTTCTGGTTTCTGTTACCTGCGAGACGTTTCAGAGAATGTGAGTCTTTTGTATACGAGTTGTGGTTTTTTCATCTGCCCCCCTTCTTTGAAATGACCCGTCTGTATCGACTAATCTTACTCCTGTATTTTCAAATATAGACGGCCAAAAAGAACACGCAATATATCCTCAAAGGCCTTTCATGCCTCAGCTGACTTTTGAATGCAGTGAGTCACTGAAGTGATATTGGAAGGATCTAAAGCTTTCTAAGAGAGATTTGCTCTGGACCTCGAGGATAAATAAACTTCCTTTTGACTGGAAAACGTGAAAATGATTCACCCTTCTGCTCATTTGTAACACTGATTTGTCTAGATGTTGAACTTCGAAAATCCGACGCCCTGAAATACCAAAACGCATAATTTACTGCGTATTAGCATAAGTTTATGACCAGGATCTCTCCTTTTTCTCTCTGAACCCTCAATACCGTGTGTAATTTTAATGAATGACCATTTATCGTCGCAGGTAATGGGTTACATCCCTCATAAAATGTGGTATTCATCTCCCTCACTCGCTTTCTCTGGAACTGATCTTTAGTCGAACTGAATTCCACACACACACACTGAAAAGTAGCAAATGAATGGAAGTAAGCCGGGCTGGAAATTAATGGAATGATATTTCTAATCCATCAAGCTGATGCATAACTGTAGGAACGTGTTCTCACTTTTGCAGGGGAGGAGAGATGGGGGAGGATGGGGGGGGAGGGCAGCTTGTCTTCATCAGTGGCTACTCACTTTAGCCTCTATGTTTGCCCCTCTGGCTGATTAATGAGTGCACTCTAATGGCCACTTCAGATCCGTTAAAACGGATGATTGTTGTTTCGTAGGACAGGACGCACCGCCGCTGCCGTCCTCCGCTCTTTAAAGATTTCGAGGCGGCTGTGAGATCTTTTTCTTTTCGCTGCCTTAAAACCGTCATTAGTACGTAATGGGGGATAAGAAAAGACACGTTTGACCATCTTACAAAAAGGTTTTTCAAAATGAATTCACGAGTCCGATGCAAATCAAACCCCCCACAGTTCCTCTGGCACACATTTATGTGCCGATAAACTGCACTCCAAATAGTGAAAAACAGGCGAGAGAGATTTGCTGCCCCCCCCGGAGCTACAACAGGTGAGATCGGCTGGTGTCAGGGCAATTCTGTAAATAAGCATTTGCTCTTAATCCTACCTGATTAAAAAAAAGTGGGAATTAAAGTTTGTTGGTTTATGTTATCTGCAGAGTCATGAATTTAAACTGCTCTTCAGCTTAACTATTTTCGGCTCGTTTACTTTATCTTCCTTCCTCTGAGAGGAATGTTGAGCTTGATTCAATTTATTTTAATAACATTTATAATGAAAATACACGCTAATCCAGGAACCGTTTGGCTAGAAACCCAATGATACTTTTTAAATAGACAGAAATATTAAAAACACATATTAGTGGAATTAAAAGTGAATTTTTATTAAGTATGGTTACTAGTTCATTTTCATAATAGGTTCAAATCCAAATGAATTTGTTTGTTAAATATAAATCCATACAGATGAAACTACGAACAATATTAAAATAACCTTCTTCAGTGACAGAAACTAGTGACGGTGTAACGTCTTACAAATAATGGGCTTAAAGTAATTGTACAATTTATACAGGCGAGTTAAAGTTAAGTTAAACTCCCCGAGCCGTCTGGCTGCATGGCAGCGAAGTGCAGCACTCGTGTCTCGTGTCTCTGGGTGGAGGAGGAGAATCTGGGTGGAGCAGATGCACTCAGCTGTGTTATCATTAGTGGCCACTGCCTACTGAGGCCTGGTTAAAAGTGAGTGACTGATTACTCACTGACGGAGATGAGATAATGGACATAATGATACAACATTGTTAGGGGGTCGGTTTGAGTTCTTTAGAGAGCATAAACAGTCATCTAACAAAATGTGTATTTTACTTTGCTCTCTCGTTGATATAACTACAGCAGTGACGTCACTGAGTACTGGCCGCCCCCAGATTCATGGAGGTAATACTTTTTAACAAAACATGTTTTGGGGCCATTTCTGTGCATACTTAAAGCAGCCCAGTATTTTAACGGTGCTACATTGACTCGTGCTGGGTCGATTGTTGTCTAGTGATCTGTGTGTGCACTTACAGCCGGATGATCTCCCCTGACAACTGAATAACTCATTCAAAGGTTCAGCAGCTCAAACCCAAAACCGATTCAGTCCACCCCGATGCTTTATATTTCGCTGTTCCCACGCGTGGCTGATGGCGGTTTACCAACCCGGAGCCACAAAAGCTGCACAGCTGCCACGTGACTTCCACATACCCGTATGGCAGTGGATGCAATCTGGAGGTGGTGCAGCCTGCGCAGGGTGCTCTCTCTGTCGGTGAAGTAGGAGGCGGCCAGCTGGTGGAGGGCCTCCAGGGTCACCGTCCCCGTGGCGTTTGAGTTCCTGTCGGCGCCGCGGCCGCCATCGGCCCCCGCAGGCGAAGACTCCTGGCTGAGCTTCCTTTTGTCCACAAATATGGTCAAAGACTCCTCCCCTGGTAAGAAAGCGAGGGAGGGGAAAGAGGAGCTTCATTAGCTCTGACAGAGCAGCGCTAATCACCTTTCATTAGTATCTTTTCAGACTCAAAAGCGGTGATAAAGGGCTCTGAGGGAACTGACAGATTGGATGATTGGAAGGAAAAGTACAGACAAGGTTTCTCTATCGGTTGAACTTCTCGGGAACAAAGAGATTATCCAAGATCATTAAGCATCCTACTCTAATTGTTTTAATTATCTTAATTACACTATTAAAAATGGCATTACAAATACAACAGATCTCAGGTCTTCTGTGGGTGACAAGTACATTCAATACACAAAAAAAAAAACAGATTACAATTTTAACATGCACATAAAAAGCAGCAGGAAAACCAAACTATACGCCTTTTCACACCAACTTAAACTGTTAAAGGAGATGCGGGGACCAGATGTCCAAACAGTATGTGCAAAGACACAAGGGGAAGCTTTCTTATGGTGGATGTGAAACACAAGGGGAGAGTTTTCATGGTTGTTTCTCTGATTGTGCAATCGATGAATTTGTCATCATTTATATTCATACGAGTAATTAATTCACTGGTAATGATCTTTCAGTTATATCCTGAATTATGAAGCGCTTTGTAAAGTCTGGTTCAAATTGATCCCCATGAATTATTCATTGATCATCTTTCTGACGTTTAATAACGATGATTGAGGTGGTTCACGGGTCCTCGTGCTGAATTAGGACGGGCGCCACAAATGGCTACAAGCCGTGTGGCGTGACAGCCGCCGTGGTGCTGTCGGACTACTTCACAGAGGCTTCGCCATTGGTAACGGCGCCCTGCTTCTCATCGACGGGTCTTGACGAGCGGTGGAGCGGCAACTATCGTTAGACAAATAGATTGTTTCAGGGACGCTTCCACATCCAGTTATCGGCAAACCGCGGGACTGGAAATTGGGGCTTATTTGCACCAATTCCACGATGATTGAAATCTATGGAAAAGAATCCAGATGATGAAAGGAAAGCATTTGCACATTTTGTGTCTTTGTGAGTACACACGTTTTGAGTGCGTTGCATCTGGCCCCCTGGACTTTTGTGATAGATGAGGTTGTTTTTGACGATTTTTTCCCTCAAACTGCCTCATCCACCGCGCTTCTATTGCAATAGTTGATTTACCCACGTTTCTCAATGGAACTCACAGTGTGTGTTTTCCCCAGAGAAATTCTTTGAAATTGCTACATTCAGCTGTGTTATTACATTTCATTGCAGCTCAAATCAATAGCGTGATATGTTCACACTGACCTATATAGCCAACATTAATAAGCCCAATTATTTTGTCTAAAAGGCTGGGATACCAGTTACCAGGAAAGTACAGCCGATGTCTGGGCTCTCAGTCAAAAGAATGTCCGTCAGTGAAGTTGAGTGCAGTTTGAATGAGTGTGTTATTAGAAAACCTAAACTTCATTAAATCCTCTCTTTACTCTGAAGATCATTTACGATACAAGTATTATTTCTCAAAATGGTCCCTCGCCACACTTACAGAGTTCTTGCGATGCTTTGTAATGTATTGAAGAGAAGGATGTAAAGTGATTACGTAAATAGCAACGGCCGCTAGCAGGTACGTTTATATCGAATGAGGACCGTGTGAAAGTTGTCAGCTGAAGAGTTCTTTTTTTCAGCAAAACCAAAATATTCAGTAATATCGTAGTCATATCAAATAAAATCGTAGTCCTCGTTTGAAGTATACAACATTGACGTTTGGACAGTGGACAGGACCGTGCTGTCTCTCTCCTGCTTTCTTCCAGCAATGAACATGGTTCGTTGAAAAGCATGACAGCCACTGTTTGCTATCCTGCAGCGAGTAGCTTAGGAGCCTGAGGGCAAATCAAACCTCGATCAATAACAGCAACAGATCAGAAATGAGTCCCATGAAAAGCCATTCTGATCCGAGGCTGTATCGACAGGACGACATTCTTTATCAGCTGATTAGAACAGTGGCCTCCAATTTAAATACCAAGTCCCACAAAACATGACTTTGTGGTTTTGTATGCAATAGAGTTTCACTCTGTTATTAAACATTCCTGTGTTGTATTCAATCTGCAGTCCATTCTCAGTGGAGGCAATTTGTCTTTCTTGAGATGAGTTGCAGTCTGAGAGATTGGTGAATTCTGGTATGAAATGTTGAAACTACGAAAACATTTTTTTGCCTTCAGTTCTGAGATTTCGACCTCCGTGGGGTCCGTTTAAAAGTTTGGCTGGATCCTGCATTAATGGGAAGAACCACTAAACATTAAATAATTCTTAGATTTCAAGGATCATCGCCAGTAGCCGTTTTCAACTAAATTTGCATTTGGGTAACTACTTCAAAAGTTTGTTTGTTTGGTTTTTTGGTAGAAACTTCTTAAATCCCGCATCCTATTGACAAAGTATTATTTGTTATTATGAGATACAGAAACGATAAGCCAATTTCATACAGATGAGAACAAGGTGGTGAAGCTCCATTTAGGGAAATACCCTATTTAGACAGCCAAACAAAATAGCTTTTCACTAAAGCATACCAATTTGATTATTTTTTAAGGAGCCAAAAGCCAGAAGACATGTTAAATTCGGTGCCCCATGTGCTGGGAAAACAAAAATCACATTGGAAGCTGTGCGCGTGCGGCTGCCTTTGAAGCTCTGCGTACTCCACTGTACCTCCCAGAGTGGCAGAGAGGAGGAGGTGGGTGCCATATTTTTTGATTAGACTCTCTGTAATCGTCTGGAGGGTTGGCCGCCTCCCCAGCTGGCGGATGGTGTGAGTGAAGTCGGGGTCGAGGGGCAGAGCCAGGCCGCCGCTGCCACCTAAACCATCCCTCTTCTCCACCGCCAGGCTGTTGACCTTCCATCGACCAAACTCCCTGGAGACACAACAACACACACACACAAATGCACAGAGACATTTGCTCACTTTGTTTTCGGCCTTTACTGGTGTGTAAAGCCCCGGGCGGCTGTTTAACAATTATGTAGACAGAGAAGCCTTGGGTGAATGTGTGTCACATACTCTGAGAGCCTACATGGTGCCGCACAGTATACTGACTGCACACGATGCATTCCCACACGTGATGTGATGGATCCTTTGGGCCCTTATTGGGTTTTTTTCTTGTTCCGTGAGTAGATTGATACCACACATCTGCGCAATAAGTATGAAGCTCCTGCTAATAGCCAGTTAGCTTAGCATTTGTTTATTTTATTTATGAATTGAAGAAAAAACGTTTGTGTCAATTAGTGAGCTGCTAGTTGAGTTAACTGATTGAAGCTGGATATTTGGCACAATGATTTAGTAATGTAATCTTAAGTATACGCAATTAAGACTATTGTTGTCCAGTTTTTAATGCTTATTCAGGTTTGAGGGATCTCCTGTGTAGGACGACCTGTCACAGCTACAAGGTCATTCGGTAAATGAAATGTTGTCTTTCCCAAATTAGCTGAGGTTTTCCACAGTATTTCCATCTTGTTTGGGGATTTTTGTCTGTCAATGTTCTCTGAACAACCTCTGCGCTTTAAATAACAACTGCATGGATAAAGCACAACTTATTGACATGCATTGCTGCAACTCCCACAGCAACAGAAAAAAAGCAAAATAAAGCTCCACATTATCAGCTGCCATTATTTGTTATCTTGTGCCCTTTGGACACGAGTCTCGATGAACGCTAGTTATTCACAAAGCGTCACAGAGATACGGCCGCTACTCCCTGTGCTCCCGCCCTGCACGGCATCAGTTAATGTCTTCCTCACCCACCGTAATGCTTGCTGCCTCTGCGTACCTCCCTCCCTTCTGGGGACGCAATCTAATCACTGTCACGAGAAAAATGATCGGCAGCAAAATAATTGGGCAACCGGGGCAGTGTGGAGCGCGTCGTTACAGCCAATCATCATAACCGGTTGAGAGTCCATCCCTGGTGGACAGATGGGTGTCGTGGTTCCAGCTGAGGCTTCAGGCTAAAGATATTCCGTCAGCATGCACCTACACGGGCCGACTACAGGGGTGTTTGCTGTAGGACTGCGCTTTCTAAATGGATGCTTACTGTATGTACTGCAAGCAATCGATTGTGATGAAAGCAAACCCTTGGAGAGAAAGTGTAAAAAGAAGCAGTAAGGAGCAAATCGACTGCTTAAATGCTGCTGCTTGACTGACAGCTACTCTGGTTCAGTTATTACAGAGATCAGCGGGGCTCTACACGCAGTTCAGCCTCTGGGCTATTTAAGAGCACATAGAATAATGCTGAACAGCAACTCTGGGGAATGGGAAATAAGTTGTACACATTTCTAAAAATAAATGCTGTTTGTGTCACCGCAATGTATTCTTTCACCTGCACAAAAAATGATGGTCCATAACGCGCAAATTCACCAGAAACGGGTTCAAATTTGCTCTGTTGTCAGTTTTCACCTTGTTACTGGAGGTTTTTTTTTCTTCTTCTTCTTCCTCGTTTTGGATTCTTAGTTTAAATCCTTAATCCCTAATCCTTAAAACAGCCCTTGGGTTAGAAATGTGATCAGGCAGCTTACGGGTTGCAGGATCGACCGCTTCTGGGTAGAAGACCCTGGAGCGGTGAGACGTCAGCCAGCAGATGGTGGCCTGCCTCTGACAGTCCGGGCTGTCGGCTCCTCTGTCAATGATTTTCACTAACGGTGAAGAAGAAGCCTCGTGTCAGGGGGCCATTGGGACTTTTGTGCAGCAGGTCCGTTGAAAAAAAAAAAAGAGGCAGCGGTCACTAAGGGACAAACACCTCAGCGAAAACGATCTCCCGAGAGGAGGTAACGTACCGGTTGATTCATGCACGTACGGATGCAGAATTGTTTCTTTTAGAAAAAGAAACTTGGCCATTGAATGATATTCGTTATAAGGAAAACTGCCCCAATAGACACAAGAACTGAGAAGGACAGAGGATGTCTTCCTCTCAGCACGATATAAACCCCTAAACATAAACACCCCCATTTTCAGATGGGGGCTATCAGAACACCGCATTGCATTTGCACAAGTATGCGAACACATTTATCAGCATTTTAGTCATCTAAGTTGTAACAAAGCACGAATAGAACATTATCATATGAATGGGTGTGCCGACTGTTAGTCAAAGGCAGCACCAGTGAAGTGCAGCTCAGGGACACTGCAGGAAGTCACTGAAAGGATGTAAGTGTCCACACGCAGTCAGCGGGTCAACCCCTGTAGTCAAATGTCAAACCCTGAAGCGAAAAACACGAGAAAAGGAAGAAACGACAGCCTGGTGCTATTCACATGGATGATTGGCTTTCATGGCGAGTACTTTAAGGCAGGAGCGAAAGGGCACCGCTACAGTAGTTCTTTCGGCGTGCTCATCAGCTCGCAGCTAATTCGGTGCAGGTGTGATACCTGTGAGAGCGCGCGTGTCTTCGTCCCAAACACTCCCAGCAGCTGCTTTCCCTGATTAGTTCCTCTCTGGCTGAGTGCTCATCGGTGGAATTATACAGCGGCGGCATGTGTGGCGAAATGAAAACGCGCAAAAACACTCACGCGGCGAGAAAAAATGCCCCCCCCCCCCCTCCTCCCTCCCCCAATTGCCGACCGGCGGTCTCACCTGTAGATCTTGTACCTGGTACCGTAGCCCTGCTGGTACCTCTCCGCAGCCTCCGTGAACTCCAGGGCCTGTTGGAAGGGGCCCTTATCGGAGAGCAGCCAGCCCAGGGAGCCGGCGGCGCCCTCCTCTTGTCCGGCGGCGGAGGACGCGGCGGCAGCGACCCCGGTGGTCCGGCAGCAGCAGCAGCAGAGCCAGAGGCCGAGAGCCGCCCCCCCCCATAGCAGAGACAGAGACAGCCGCTTATGACTGATTCTCTGACGGCTCATGCTTCACCCAGCGACACCTCATTCTTTCCGGACTGAGAGATGACACATAGTTTGGTTTTAGGCAAAGCAGTGCGTCTGGCAGATTAAAAAAAAATGTGGGGGGGTTGACATCTACTTTTTTTAGAACTGAGAATTTGAGAGTTAATGAATGATGCAAATGTTCCACTGTCCTTGAAGTACTCGTACCTGATTTTGCAAAAGGTGATCAAGGTGATGCGCTCTGGAGAATCAAGTCAACTCTTTCTGGCTCCAGAGCTGCAAACAAAAAAACAAAGAACAAAACAAAAGAAAAACCCTCTCTCCTCTTCGGTGATCCGGACAAATAGATCTGCTGCTGATGAGTCCTTTTCTCTACTCCGACTCGATCCCTGCCTCTCGCGCAACTTTATTCCGCAATCCCCCGAATCGCCCGCTGCTCGGGGGCAAGTTGCGGCCGGCGAGGCGCGAACGCGGAGCAGTTCATCGTGGAGGCGCCTGCGAGGCTCGCTGATATCCCCGGAGGCTAAACGCAAAAGACAGATCCGTCCATCCCGCTCGGGAGTGATGCGCCCGTGTGATCCTCCTCGGAGTTGTCCATCTGCACGCGTGCTTGGTGTTGCGTGCGCGCCGTTGCTCCCCCCATCCGAACGCGCGCCTGCCTCCACGCGGAGAGAGCTTATTCCTGCCGTCTTTTTCCTTTTTTTGTTTCTCAGAGTGAGAACGCAAAAGGGGGAGAGCAAGTGCGTCCTAATGAGGTTTAAATTTACAGTGTGAGCGTGTTCAAGTTCCGAGGACAGCAGGGGGAGGATGGTGCTTTAAGGGCGTCTAGCAGTCACCTTTTCTTCCACAGCATGTTCCCCCGTGTCATCCTGGCATATCAGAAGTGTGAAGAAGAGCTCGATAGTGGGCTAATTGTCTCTCAGCAAGCGTTGCTGTATTTACCACGGAAAATAATTAAAAGCCATTGTCAGAGTTTCTTGGGTGATGGGATTCGAGTTTAGGAGTGTATCTTCATTTGTGGGCATTTGGCATTTTTGCATATAACTTTCTCAGTGTAAAAAGCCACTCGAACCCCTAATTATTCAAAAATAACGTTTTATCTGCAATTTGCCGATACACTTGTGAACTCACATCCCGGCAATGGGGGACAGGCAGGTGTTTGAGAGGATGCTGATGTGGAGCCCCAAACCGCCGTCCTTGCAGCACCGCGACTATTTGACGTGCTGTCGACAAATCTTTCAGCCATGTGAAAGCCGAATGCCGTTAGAGGACAATTTGCTGCCTCGGGCCTTCCAGTGATGGTAGAGGAGGGTATAGGGACAAAGCTCTGCATATTTGTGTGTTTGGGGAAACGGGTCGACAGGTACATCAGATGAATCTCTAATTAGACTCCCGTATCTGCTCTGCGGGGACCACAACAACAAAGACGATCCAGAGCTAGAATTTGTTTGACATTCGTGCAATTACACTTTACTTAAGGTTTGCCAGGAGAGTCCTTTTGTCTTGGTCTTTTAAGTCATCTTGTCATTATGCTTGTCATTCACACTGACATCCTGATTGACAAAGGCGTCCCTAAATGGGCTGCGAGGAGAATGTTATCCCCGATGGGGTTGAATCAATAGACCGCTTTCATTGATTCTTTTTTTCCTTTAAATTTATTTGGCAAGTGTCTGGACGCCAGGGGACGTTTTTTTCTTTTCTTTTCTCTTTGTAGCTCAAATTAAGACAGTCAGTTCAATAACATCTTCAAAGACTAAATAGCTCTCGCCACCGTAGGTGCTGCCGACCGTCTCTCAGTCAGCTGAAACACTTTGAAATATTAAGCTGGGGGGAAGTTCTCTTTCTCACAATGCACCACCCGGAGGATGGAGCCTGATCTTGGTATTCGGGACATTTGTAATAATAGAGACGCCCCGTTTGCTTGTGCAACCAAAAAAACACATAAAATATTCCAACTTGTAATTTGTGTGGAGAAAGGATGTAGAGAAATGAAGGAGGCTAAATGAGCTTTTCCCTCCAGGCTGCAGACTGTTATAGTCTCTTGAAATCTGGGTCTTTGTTGTCTGCGTGTGTGTGGTAATTGAAAAGTTCCAGCCTCCCCCCCCCCCTCCTCCTCCCTGTTTCTCTCATGCCTTTCTTTCCCTTCCTCTCGCTCTCCCTCGTCTCCTCAACCTGACATACCCGTACTTCCCTTCCACCACCCAAACCCGAATCCTTTTGCTCTCAGCGTCTGTCTATTCGCATTCCCTGTCATCTCTCGTTTGGCTCATTCCTTCTCTCCTTCTTTCCCTCCTCGGCCGCCTGCTGAGCTTAAGGACGAAAGTAGGCGATTTTCATCATTTGCGGCCGCTGAATCCAACCTCTTCCTAGCGGATGAGGAAGCTCAGAATCCACCGGGAAGGTGACGTGAAAAGGGCTCGACGTCGCACTGGTGTCAAACACGCCTGAACACAAACGCCTCCGGCCCGGTGAACGCGCCAAAGTGATCGCGAGTCAAGAGTGACATTGTGACTCCTGATTCCTCCCACACATAGGAAGTCAGGAGGGGGGGAAGAGGTTCAGCTGCACCTTGTGGCATAAAAGCACGGCCACAAAACACGCCGGCATGTGGCCGTTGTGTGACTGTGTGCGTCAGAAAATGACACAAGACGATGACACATTTTTCTCATGAGCTATGGCGCCTCACATTGAGGGCCGAACACGTGTTTCTGTTCCGACTGATAACAGGAACAGAGCTGCCCTCTGACTACCAATGTGCACTAATTACCTCTTGTGCACCTTGTGTTGTGAAAGAGGGAATTGTATTTGATCAGCACGACGTGAGCGAGATCACGGACACGCTGGTGTGCGCTGCCTGTCCATTGTTCTTCGAATGTCTCTCCAAAATTGGTCGCAACTTGGCAAAGACGGTAAAAGTGCGAACAAAATTAAAACCCGATGACGAGGTCTCGGCTTGGCTATTTCCATTTGAGCCTGGAGTGAAGACCGCCATTGGACAGAAAGCTCTCTGGTGTGAGTAATTGGACGAGCATTGCAGGAAAAAAATGTTTGGTAACAAAATCACAAATGCCCCCACGCTTTCATGTGAGCGCCACAGGGGGCCGAGGCGCATTGGCAATCGTTTCAGCACATTAAACATGATCTCAGCGTTGAGATTTATTAAAATGAACAAATTTGCGTCTGATGAGCTCTTCTCGACGTTGAGGGGACCAGATAGAGTCGGCGCTGCCACTGCCGTCCCCGTGAGCCGGTGCAGCTTACAAACAAAAGGAAAAGTGCCGATGGACGCGAGAAGGAAAAATTGTGTTATTTTCCAAACACATTTGGGGCCTACCTGGTTGAGTGCTCCGCAGCTCTCTTGGTTATTCAGGTCAGGGAACGCACATGTCCGAGGCTTTTGTCAAAGCTTTTGCTTCTGTGGCCCGGCTGCTATTTTTGCTCCTTCCCTGTACATGGCCTTTCATTCTTGAGTCACACTGGAGCATTGCAGGGCTGACCTAGAATGCTGAAAGCCTGTCACACAACAGGATCCGTGCACAGAGAAGGTAACTAAGACCTAATGCAAGTCAGGAAATCAAAGTGCTTTTTATCCATAAAATAGCCTCATAATAATCAGTGCTTATTAATGCACGTGATGATGAATGGTGCAGTTAAATGGCATCGCGTTTATATGCAAAAATGCACATCATGTGTAATTATTGAGTTCAATATACAGTATTGCACAAGGACTTGCGGCATGTCTCATAAACCCATAATATGAGATTTCAGTTTATGTTTCTCCAGTAATGTGTTAAAATATATTATCTCTATATGCAAATCACTTTCCTTCAGAGGCAACATGTTTATTTACACACTCCTGTTGCTGCTGAATAAATTCGAGCCCCTCTGTCACTGTTAGGTTGTGGCACAGAATCCATATGTGACTTTTTTTTAACACAAACAAAATGTGTGAAAGACGCTTTTATCCAAAGCGACTTGAAATAAGTGCATTCAACCACAGGGTACAAACTCAGAAGAACAAGAAACGAGAAAGTGCAATTTCCTCAAATAAGCCAATTTACAATTTGCTATAGATAAGTGGCGTTATAAGTACAATTTAAGTGCTACAATTTGTTAGCCTTTTAGTCGAGGTAGCTAGAGTCTGAAGAGGTGTGTCTTTAGTTTGCGGGGGAAGATGTGAAGGCTTTCTGCGGTCCTGGTGTCTTCAGAGAGCTCGTTCCACCATTTTGGAGCAAGCACAGCAAAGAGTCGTGATCTAGTCGAGTGTTTTTCTCTCAGTGAGGGAGGGACGAGCAGTTTTGCAGATGCAGAGTCGGGTTGTAGGGTTTGTCCTGGATGTAAGCTGGACCCGATCCATTCACAGCATGGTACGTGAGCACCAATGTTTTGAACTGGGGCCAGTGAAGAGAGCAGAGGAGTGGAGTCGTGTGGGAGAATTCAGGAAGGTTAAAGACCAGTCGAGCTGCTGCATTCTGGATGAGCTGCAGAGGTCGAATGGCGGTAGCGAGGAGACCTGCCGTTGTGACAGAGCCATGCTAGCTGTGTCCTCCGGTTCTTTTTACTAAGTTTACCATTTGCTGGCACTACAGCTACATATTTAATCACAAGTCGAATGGTATTGTTATTGTATTCAATAAAGCGGCAATTATTTCGCAAATGTCAAACTATTCCTTTGAGATCCTTTTATTATCTCATCTTTTTGTATGTTATTTTACCGTTTTGATTGGTGGAGTTATTCATGCAGCAGCATATAGGAAGGCTTCAAAGTTCTATTCATTTTTGAGAAACTGATAATTTTGCTGCATTTCCTTGAAATTAAAACACGAAAACACGATTAAATCGCTCATTTTCTGTTTCATTATGTAACTGAAAATGTCTTTGGACAAAATGAATGGTAAATAATTGTCACATTTTCTGAAAAGAAAATAGGTTCAGTTAAATTTTCATAAACATGCCTGAGGGGATTTACAGTGCACACAACATACAGCGCCCCCTTCCTTGGATCTTTGCTTTGGAAAATGTCACATTTTGTTCAAGGTGCCCAGAATAGAGGCAGATCCTCGGATATGTTATTATCTTTCTGAAATGGCCCCATTTTAAAAGAATAAATCAATGCGCTTTTCTCATTTGAAGTCAAGCAGCCAACACGACCTTGGACTTATGTTGAGGTTAATTGTTTGGTTGTCTCTTTTATAAAGAACATTTTGCACTTGTAATTTGCATTCTCGACTTGCAGAGTAAAAAAATAACTATTCATATTTTTCAGGGTCAGGGATGGTTGAGTTTATTATCTGCTCAAAATATTCACATTATTCAATTTTTCAGTTTTTTTCATTATTCTCCCATAACTAATTGCTTTGTATGTTATGGGCAAATACAAAAACTTGTCCAATGGTGCACTGACATTATCATTCACTTAGAGTCGACTGTTGGCTGAATGACAAAGTCCAATACCTCCTCTCCTTTTAGCTCTGTTTTAGTGTCCACCAACTCCTGAGGGGAAGTCTTTAACCCCTGAATGCTCCTCTCTGTTCAGCAGCCAATCACTAAATGAGCCTTTCTGTATTTAGTGCTAAGCAGGAAGGGACAATGACATTAAGGCAAGGGAGGAGAAAAGGAAGGAAATTAATAAATAACTCTCCCTTTTTCACTCCATGAAAAGTCAACATTTTACTCAGAAACCCTTTAGGCCGCTCTTATCTGTTCCACAGTATGCTG